TCTGCAAGGAACAATATATTCTAAAATGAAATGGAGATCTTTTTTAAAGGTAAAAAACTCATTCAATTTTATCTCTTACAGGGCTTATTCTGAGTTCAATATTGTATAACTGTATTAATTCAACTGTGAACCTAGAAACTTACAGCCACTTGTGAAAGAGATGTACTCTTGCTCTGGAGTGTGTTACTGGATATGTTAAAGCTGTAATGAAATGCTTCTTCTAATCATGTAGTTATTAAAAAATTTAAAAAAAAAACAAAGTTTTTAAATGCCTTCTCCTACACAATAAGCTAAGTAGATAGTTTCCATGTTTGTTCTGATATTCTGCCATTACACAATGAATATTTTAGATAATCAAAATGTTTCAAGATTCTCCATGGATGACTGAACTAATTTACAAAGGTCTTCTAACAGTAATTGAGAATGCATCAGTAGTGAATACTGAGATGAGATTTGTGCTCTACAAACAAACATAATGGTTAAGTTTTTCATGGGAGAGAAAATCTTGAGCAGGAAGTTCTAATCTTCTTAGACATGAGTTCCTTTTATGGTTGTTTCACAGCCCTGGTCACAGTGTTACATTTCACTACTCAATATCGGGCAACATTTTGGTTTTGCATCTGAAAACATCTTTAGAAAGGTACACCTTTAAAAACCTGTGCACAGGTGTTCCCTGAGGCACCAAAGAAACAATGTAATAGGCTAAGTTACATTACTATTCTAAGCCTTAAGAGATAGAGTGGGGAGAAAACTTTAGTCCATACCCTGAAATCCTTGTATGACTTGGGATTATGAAAATATGATAATGTAGTGGAACCTGGAAAAATTCTAATTTGTCTACTAAATTGTGCTTCCAACTGTCTAAATTTTAACCATTCCCTTCTGAGCATTACTAGAGGTCCCTTCTATTTTTTATTTTTTTAAAAAAATATGTATTTATGCTTTGTGGTTATTCAAGACCATGCCCCACTTACCTGTCTCACCACATCGAGGAGGTTTTTCAACTCCCCACAAACACCTCCTGTTTTTATGTCACTTGTGTACCATTGCTCTTTCTTTTTTCCTTCTTCCCCTTCCCTTTACATTTCCTATACATGTAGTTTCAATGGCGTTGTGCTACATGATGTGATAATGCTCCTCAGAAGAGCCATGAACTATCTAACAAAAACCCTAGTGCCAGGCATGGGAAACCTCCTTTTGAGTAGTTGATCAGGGTAGGTCAAGAGACTTCCAAAAACGTATGAGCTATTGGTATTATCCTTTTTTGTCTCCTTAAAGTTGAAGGCAAGATGCTATTGCTTAAGACATCACATACTTCTGACACAGTACTTGGTGGAATCAGGGGCTCTGACGTGAAAGCCTCCCCTCTGAGGACTAGCTTTCATCCAGTCTGAAAGTTCTATAAACTATCAAGGAGAAGAGAAATTAAGAGTCCTACTTGCTGGGCTTGAGAGGACATGCCTTTAATCTCGGTAGCACTCAGAGACAGAGGCAAGTGAATCTCTGTGAGAGCAACGCCAGCCTGGTCTTCATAACGAGTTTCAGACAAGCCAGGGCCTACAGGGAGTCCCTGTCTCAAAAAGATTTAAAAAAAAAAGTCCAACCCAACTGTAAAGCCTATGAATGACAAGAATGACCACCCCAGCGAAATATCTCTAATGATGCAATTGTGGCACATTTATCTCGGAGGTAACCAAAAGATGAGTAACAAACTTAAGGCCCACTCACAATGAGAGAACTCATGCCTGATACTGTAAACCTAGGCATCTACCTGTGGCTGGAGATCATAGATCCTCCTGGAACTTCTTTATAAAAGGTTTCTTATTTTAGGTGTTTAAATTTTCTAAAAGCTTCTAGCAATATTCAACAAGGCTCTCCAGATGGGCCACTGTAGTTGCTTACCTGAGGACTGTGGGTGAGAGCTCACTGCTGAAGACTATCATTACGGCAGTAAAAGCTGAGAAGGACGCTTTTCCCAAGAGAAAAATAAGGAGGCGCAGAACATGCATCTCTGCAAACAGTGTTTTTGAGGAGAAAAATTTTTATTATATCAATATTTATGGATCCATAATTCAATACTTTTGCAAAAATGTTTCTGAATATTGAGCACTAAGAAACTATCTGGAATCAGACGCTACATCAGCAAGGTCTAATACTGTAAAATTTACATTTATAACAAGGGATTTAAATATTTTAATGCCCCCCAAACTCATACCACACATACACACACCCTGTGAAACATGTTTCCACAAGGCCTGTTGCATTCCTGGACCTTGATCGTCCAAGACATCTGATCCCTTCTCCCTTTTTTTAAAAAAATATTTTTTTATTATTTTTATTTTATTTGTATGAGTGTATTGCCTGCATGTATGTGAGTGCACCCTGTGCATGCAATGCCTGTGGAGCTCAGAAGAGGGCTTCGGATTCCCCTGGAACTGGAGTTAAGGATGGTTCAGTGTTCTTAACCACTGAGCCATCTCTCCATCCCCCTTCTCCCTTTTATTAAATTTTTCCTCTTCTGTTTCTGTTGTACCACTTCTTTTAAAACTAGACAACTGTAAAACACTCTGAGGAAAAGACACAGTATTCTTGCAAGGATAAAAACAACAAATTTCCTGCTCCATGTCCTTGTTTCTCTATCTTTTTGTGAGCTATGAAGACTTCTGATCAAATGTAAAATTTTTCCTTGACCAAACACTTTACTTGGAGTGTTGGTCTCTTATGACCCAACACTTATTTCTTGCACTGACTAGAGGAAGACACACTCAGAGCACTTGTCAAGTCCCCTCCCTTTGAGTAGCTGGAACAATGTGGCATCTGGAACCCTAACTCCAAGTAGACACTTCCAGAGACAGTCTCCCAAAAGTTTCTCCCACCAGGCCACACAGGGACCATGAGGCATGCCGACACAACATTTTCAGGTAGACAACTCCTGCAGAGCCTCAATCCAATCAATGTCCAACTAAAGTTAGCGTGACATCCTCTTCTGGCCACCAGGGAGCTCCACTCTCTCACACTGTGACCCCATTCCCTACCACCCCCAAATCATCTCTAGAATCTGGTGAGCCTTCTACAGATTTCTGAAGAACAAGAGTGAGGATCCAATAATTTTCAAGAATTTTGAAGCTGGGCTCAGAAGTGACAATATACCTAGCTGTGCCAGGAACACATATGATCCCATTTTCACATTAACCTAGAGTTGCTGATCCCAAAAAACATTAGCTGCTCCACAAACTGACAAGTTGTGGTAACAGCAAATAAAGATCCAAATACCCACTCAACTAAGGCAGCACCATATATCCATGCTAAGAAATATCACCAATAACTCAACTTCAGGTATCTACATCTATACTTCAGACATAGGACTTAGAGCAACGGAGCTAGAACTGACCTGGAAACCTGCTCTCTGAAGATTAGCTCTCATAGTCCTAGAGGATATTATGCAAGCAGCTATGGGAGAAAATCAAGTAGCAGTCCAACTCAATTCCAATGTCTACTAACAATAATGACTGGCAGAGCAATCAATCTCTATTGGTGCAGTAGTGGCACTTTTATCTAGTGGGTAATCAATAGCTATCTAACTGAATTTAAGGCCCTCTCAATGGGAGGAAGCTTCTAGTGGCACTGTAAATTTAGTCAAATACACATGGCAGGAGAGGTCATAGATCCCAGAGAATATTCTATCTCTGTCATATCTCTAGACAGATGACATTTCTCACTGAATGCTAAATATGGATCCTTATATTTACAGACAAGTATATCATACACCACTCAACAAAGAAGCTTCTTTTTGCAACAGAGGGAGGCTATTACAGAGTTCTACCACTGAGCGCACACAGAGAATATGTCTGAAAGATGCCCCCAGTCCTAAGTGTCATATCTACAGTGGAATCTCTACCCCCAAGGCTCATGGAACATAGCAAAACAGGGAGTAGAGAGAAAATGAATACATCCCTCAACTCTCGCCAGTAAAGTTTCCTCATTCAACAGAGTGATGCACATGGAAAATCACAACTAAGTTTTAGAGAATAAGAAATTGTAGTGTGCATGTCCCTGGATGGGACTCCTATATTTAAACCTCACCCACCCACATCTCAGGGACCTTTTCAGAAGAGAGAGTGGAAAGATTTTAAGAGCCAGTGTTGGTGCATAAACATAAAGAAACAGATGTCCGAAAGCCTCACATGAACTTTGCATACTGGTGACAGCATACAAAAAAAACCATGCTGTCTCAATCAGACAAAAACCCAAGATAGCACTAAGGAATGGGCAACAGGCCCTGAACTTAGCTGAGGAACTATTGGAAACTGATTACTGCTGGGTGAGGGAGAGTAGATCTTCTTTAAGGGAGTGACTCTAGATAGGCTGACTAGACTCCAGTGGATGAACTTGCACCGAAGGACATCTGGGTACAAATGCTTGACTGGAAAGGACTTAACATGTATGACAGAATGTATGAAATCCCAGGGGTGTATTGGGATGTGTGGATGGGGGAGGTGGTCTAAATTTAATTAAGATCTATTATATGAACTATACAAAAACTCAAATCAAATATATATTAACAACTGTAAGGACACTTAAACTTCTTTTTATATTGTATATGTGTATGTTGAGAGAAACTTCCATAGTAGGTTCCCATAATACTCTCAAAAGGCCTTTAGTTTTGGTTTTCCCTCCCTTATTCCCTCTTCTACCCTACCCTCCCATTCCTCATCTCAAGTAGCTTATTTGATATTAACATAACATTTCCTATTTATATCTCTGCATTTTATCTCCCATCCCATGGACCACCCCATTGGACCTTTATTAGTTTCCTTGTTTCTAAGGCTTTTGAAAGGAAATAAACCTATATAGTCAAAGCTAGCATCCACTTATGAGCGAGAACATGCTCTGCTTGCCACTTCTGTGTCTGGGATATCTCAGGATGATCGCTTTCCAGGTTCATCTATGTAACTGAGAATTTCATAATTTAATTTTTCTCCATTAGCTGAATAATATTACATTATTTAAACAAACCGTATTTTCATTATCCATTCATCAGTTGATAGACATCTAGGTTGTTTCCATTTCCTTGATATTGTGACTAGAGTGACAATAAATATGGATCAATAGGTCTCTCTGTACTAAGATGCAGAGAGTTTTGGGTATAAGACGAAGAGTTACATGGCCAGACCATGTGGAAGAGCTATTGTTAGCTTTTAAGGAACCCGCCACACTAATTGGGGTAAGATCAACGATCAGGTAGTTTTAACTTGCATTTCCCTGATGTCAAAATATGTTGAACATTTTGAAAAGTATTTCTCCATCATTTTCGTTTGATCATTTGAGAACTCTGTTACTGGCCCCAGTTTTTAATTGGGTTGTTTGTGGATTGCTTTTGTTTTTCAATTTTTAGGTTTTCTTTTTTAGTTTTTCTATATTCTAAATAATAACACTGCATAGTTACTAAAAGTTTTTCCCATTCTGTAGGTTGCCTCAGTTCAAATCATGGTGTCCTTTGCTGTACAGAAACCTTTTTAGTTTCATGAGGTCCTATTTGTTAATTGTTGGTCTTAATGCCTAGGCTATCAGGGTCGGGGTGTAAAAATCCTTTCCTGTTCATGTAAGTTCCAGTACAGTGTATACCCTGCTTTCCCCTCTATCAAGATTCAAGGAACCAGGTTTTACACTGAGGTCCTTGATTAATTTGTAGCTGAGGTTTGTTCAGGGAAAGAGACAAGGATCCAGTTTCATTCTTCTACATGTAGCTATCCAGCTTGTGCAACACCATTTGTTGAATATGCTGTCTTCTGTCCAGCCTGTGCTTTTGATCACTTTGTTAAAATTCAGGTGATGGAAAATGCATGGACTTAAATCTGGGTCCTCAATTCTATTCTATTTATCAACGTTGTCTGTTTTTATGGCAGCACCAAGCTGTTTCTATTAGTGTAACTCTACAGTTCAATTTGAAATCACAGCTGGTGATAGCGCCATTTCTTTTTACATTGTTCATGATCATTTTACTTATCCTGACTTTCTGTGTGATTCCATATGAAATTTAAGAGTTTTTCAATCTCGGTGAATAAGTCTATTGGAATTTGAACGGGGATTGTGTTGTATCTGTAGGTTGCTTTTGGCTGGATGGCCATCTTCACACTATTAATGGGAGCATGGGAGATCTTTCCATCTTCTGATATCTTCTTCAATTTCTTTCTTCAATGTCTTTAAGTTTATATTATATAAGTCTTTCACTTCCTTCAAACAAACAAGGAGAAATCAAGCTGGTACTGATCTGTGATGCTATATCTCTGTTGGATAACTTTCATAGATCTAGAAGTAGCTTTCATGCTACTGGCTGAGAAAAATAATCGTCAACTTCACCCAGTTGTGAACTTCATGAGCTACAATAACAATTGGCTTTGCAAAATATGTCCACTGGTGCAACAGTGGCAGGAATATTATGGGAGTAACCAACCACCTTCTACTTGGATTTAAGGTCCATTCCACAAGATGGAGTCCATACCTGACACTTTTACAGGGTCAATAAATGGTGACTAGACAAGTCACAGATCATAGGAGAGAACCTAGTACTATCACTCTGCTAAATAGATATAATATTAATCTGGTACATAATGACTTATTGTTGTCCCCATAGATAAGTATGTCTCTCAGTTCTCACCAGAGACATTTCTTCTTACAGAAGATGCAATTAACACAGAAACACATAACTAGTCAACATTCAGGGAATAAGAAAATGTAGAGTGTTCAACCCTAAATTGGACACCTATATCACAGGAAAATGTATTGTCTAAACACCACGGGATAGTTGCACATAAAAAACCACAGAGTTTATGACATCATGCACAGGACATATGTAACCCAACCAGGAGGGGCCCAGAATGGACAGGGAGTATTCAAGAAGCCCCTGTCCTAGCTGAAGATCTATTCAAAATTGGTAGGTGCTGGGAAAGGGACAATTTTCCTTACTGGTATGATATCTGGTAGTTTTCCCAGACTCCAAGCGATAGACAAACACCCAAGCGCTTGGGAATCAATTTGATAGATTTTTTTTATTTAGAAAATAATAAACATAGGAGGCCTAGCCAGGGACACACTCTCTGCAGTCTCTATTTCTCTAGTTTGTCTAGTTGTGGCCTTCTATGTGCATTGCCCTCTGTTGCATGAGGAAGCTTTGCTGGTGAGGGTCATAGGGAAACAGAATCTTCCAGGTCTCTGGGAAGTTGCTCATATAAAATTACAGCAATGGTGATAGCATGCACCAGATCCATGCAAACTCAGACAAAATCCATCACAGAACTAGGGAAATGGGCAGGAGGTCCCAACCTTAGCCAAGGAACTACTGGGAGCTGATTACTTCTGGGTTATGGTGAGTTGATCGTCTAGATAGGCTGACTAGACCCCAGTGGATGAACTTATACTGAGGGACTTCTGGGAACACATACTTGACTTGATAGGCCTTAATATATATGAAAAACACATTTAATTTAGTGGGTGGCTATAAGGGGGTTCGGCTAGGGGAAAAATCCATCATAGAACTAGGGAAATGGGCAGGAGGTCCCAATCTTAGCCAAGGAACTACTGGGAGCTGATTGCTTCTGGGTTATGGTGAGTTGATCTTCTAGATAGGCTGACTAGACCCCAGTGGATGAACTTATACTGAGGGACATCTGGGAACACATACTTGACTTGATAGGCCTTAATATATATGACAAAACACATTTAATTTAGTGGGTGGCTATAAGGGGGTTCATCTAGGGGAAGGGGCCCTAAATACAATTAAGGTAGATTATGTGAAATGCACAAAAATTCAATAAAAATATACACTGAGAAAAAAATAATAAAGGACATGAAGTCAGGATGGGGAGGTAGGATGGGGGAGGTAGAAGGAGGAAGGATCTGACAATGATAAAAATGTATGAAATTCTAAATCAATAATAATAATATTTTAGTGAACTGTAATACATAAATGAAATAATCTGAAGAAATCAGAAGGTAGAAAGACCTCCCATGTTCATAGATCAGTAAGACAAATATTGTGAAAATGGCCATCATGCCAAAAGCAATCTAAAGATTCAATGAAATCCCCATCAAAATTCCATTGCAGTTCTTCATATACTTACATTTCATATGGAAAGAAAAATATTCAGGACAGCAAGCTCTAATGGTCAATATAAGAAGAGATGGAGATATCACCATTCCTGATCTGAAATTCTGCTATAAAGCTAATAAAAGCAATTGGAACTGGCATTAAAACAGACACACTGAACACTTAAATAGAACTGAGGACCTTGATTTAGATCTAGGGACCTACTCCTACCTGAAATTTCAAAATAAGCCAAATGACAGTATCACCAAAAACAGTGCTAGTTAAACTGAATACCTACATGTAGAAGAATTAAACTACATCCTTATCTCTCACCCTTCACAAACCTTAACTCAAAATCAATCAAGGACCTCAACATAAGACCTGATCCCTGGACTCTAATAGAGGAGAAAGCACTGGAACTTGTGAGCACAGTGAAGGACTTTCTGAACAGGACTCCTATAGTACAATCATTAAGTCCAACAACTGACAAATGGTGCATTATGAGATTAAAATCTGTACAACAAAGTGTACCAACATTTGAGTAAGAGGGAACTTGAAGAGTGGGAAAAAATTCTCTATCAGATATAGATCTGACAAAGGCCTAGTATCTATAATACACAAAGAACTAAAAAACTAAGCATCAAAAAACTCAATTAAAATTGGAACAAAGGACTACACAGAGAGCTGTCAACTGATCAAATGCCAATGGCTGAGAATTTTTTTAAATTTTTAATATCTGGTTCTGGAGAGAAGGCTTAGTAGTTAAGGACACTGGAGGGTAACAACTATGAACTACACCCATTCTAGGGAATCAGCCTCTTCTGACCTGCATGGCCCTTGCACACTCGAGATGCACTTACATATATGCAGGTAAAAGATTCATACATATAAAATAAAAATAAAAAATAAATCTTTAAGTGGTCAACATCATTAACCACCAGAGAATTGAAAATTAAAACTACTTCATGATTTTATCTTAGTACAGTCAGAATGGTTAAGATAAAAAAGAAATAATCACTAATAATGGTGAGGATTTTGGGGAAAGGGAACATTCACTCACTGCTGAAGGGAGTGCAGACTGGTACAGCCTCTATGGCAGTCAATGTGGAGATTCCTCCAAAAGCTACCACACAATCTAGCTATAGCACTCTTGACTGTATGCGCAAAGGACTCCATATCCTACTCTAGAGATTCATCTTTCATTGTTTCTCTATTCACAATAAGCAGGAAATGGAAACAATCTAGATGTACATCAACTGATAAGTGGGTAATGAAAATATAGAATCCACACACAATGGAATATTACCTGTTTCAAAATGAAATTATGAAATATTCAGGTAAATAGATGGAACTAGCAACGATAATCCTGAGTGAGGTAACCCAGATCCAGAAAGACAAACATTGCATGCTTTCCCTCATAGGCAGATGATAGCTTTGAATCTCTCTATATGTGGTTTTATTTGGAAAACCCATAGATGTCAGGAAACAAGAGCCCGCGAAGGGGGCTTTCATGAGATGTGGCAACAAATGTCATGATATAAAGGGAGAAAGGGAATAAAGGACTAGGAAGGGTTAAATGGGGAGGGCAATGGGAGGTCAGGACAGTGAAGGGAGTATCGGGAAGAATAACTAATACCAAAGTCCTGTTTTAAAAAGTCATATGTAGGGATTGGAGAAATGGCTTGTGGTTAAGAGCACTGACTGCTCTTATAAAGGACCCATCTTCAGTTCCCAGTACCCACATGAAGGCTAACAACCATCCACTACTCAAGTTCCAGGGGATCCAATGCCCTCTTCTGACCTCTGTGGGCATTTCACAACACAGGTGCACTTACATATATGAAGCCAATACACTCATACACATAAAATAAAAATAAACATTTTTAAAAGTCATATGCAAATCTACTACTGTATAAGCTTGTGTGTGTGTGTAGTTTAACTATAGTTACCATATAAGCAGTGGCTCAATGGTCTTATCAGATACCACAAGCTATCAAATTAAAAACTCAATGCCAAGAATGGATGCCTCCTTTTGGAATTATTGTCAGAGATCCCATAGGCAGTCAAACATTTCTGGCTATTGCAATTACTCTTGGGTACACCCAGTACTTGACAGTAAAAATCCACTGCTGAAGACACTACATACTTCAGACACAAAACATGGAGAAATCAAGCTGTTACTGACCTCAAAGTTTCACCTGCCTGGTTATATTTTATAGGACTGGAAGTTACTATGCACAACATCAGAAGAGAAAAGTAATCATAAATCTTACCAGCTGGAACCACCGCAAGTTACAATGATGACAGGCTTGGCAAGATATGGTCACTGATGCAACAGTGGTATTAATAACACTGGTATTAATGTTATAAGCATAACCACTGCTTTCAGATTGGGTTTGCAACTAGTTTCACAAGATTTAACTTATGCCATCACCTTTGTCAGGGTCAAGAGCCTGTAGCTTGACAGGTCAAAAGTCCCATGGGAGAACCTACTACTATCATTCTGGCTAAGGGACTATGACAGTTGATTACTGCTTGAAGAGGGAGAGTCAGTTTTCTTTAAGGGTGTGATTTTAGGTCACTTGATCATGCTCCAGCAGATGGACTCAAACCCAAGAGTATTTGGGGAGCAAAACTTAAACTCACTGGGATTTGAAGAAAGTAGAGGATACAAAGTTGGAGATAAGGAGTGGGGTGGATCTGACAGAAGACTTGGGAGGAGGGGTTGAATATGATCAAAATACATCATATGGAGTTCTCTGAGAACCAATAAAAATATTTTTAAAAACTCTCTCTCTATTTATATATATATAAATTTAACAAGGTTCTAAACACTGTAAAGGTCTCACCTTCAGAAATAAATATGGTGACTATAACACAACTTCCAAGAGTTAGTGACTATAATACAACTTCCAAGAGTAAGGAGCAAAAAGGCCACAGAAGGACAACGTTGTACGTGTCTTAACACAAAGAAGGTTAATGTTTTGCTGGGCATGTCTATCATGCCTAGGAGAAACTGGGTCAGGAATATGTCCTTCCCCAAAGTCTGAATATCCAGCAAGAGGCCATAAACGCTGAAAAATTCTGCAAAACTGTGAAAGAAAGTACAGAGGCATTCAGTCAATTGAGAAATCCATACATTCCACATGTCTTCTCTGTGTGACATTGTTTGTACAGATTAGAGACCACTACTTTATTCAAAGACACAACTAACACCAAATCTTCCAAGAATGGGATAAAATGAGGTTTTATGATGTAATGGAAATTATGTAGAAAAACGTAACATTATAAGAAGTGCCAACAATGAATTGAGTTAGTGGTTATATATGCAAATTTATCAAAAACATACTAAATTCAATCTATTGCCTCTAATGGACTCTAAATTTTGGACCTGAGTGTTTCCGGATGTAAGTAAAAATAGAAAATCAATATAATCCTAAGCAAGGCAGACAAATGCATTATTTCCTAACTTCATAGAAAAGACTATATTTATCTGATGTATCACATTTCTATAAAACACAGACATCTTTCATAAAGTTAATTGTTAGAATTGAAAAATAGTATGGTGGGGTAAAGATATGGCTCAGCTGTAAGAGCATTTGCTCCTGCTGCAGAGAGCCCAGATTCAATTCCCAGCACCCACATGGTGGCTCACAACTATCTGCAATTCCAGTTCCAGGGGATCTGGTGCCCTCTTTTTCCCTCTATAGGTACTACATGCAGTTGATACTCATACATTCAGGCAAAACACTCACAGACATAAAATAAAAATAAAGAAAATCTTTTTTAATTAACATGACATAAAAATAAGTCTTCTCAAATTTGCAAAATTGTAGTAATTTTTTATATTTGAAATTATGAAACTCCATTAATGTCAATAGAACAGGCTAATATGTATGAGCAATGTACACGTGTTTGTTGCTGCATTTGCATATCTCACTCTAAATTCTTATTTAAATAGTATGACTTTTGTGGCTTTATGCTGTTTCAAAGTTTAGCTTTCTAAACCAATTTTACACATAATTTAAGAAAAGAATTCTCTAATTTTGTTGCTTACCACACTAACTTTTATTGACTTACACAGTTATTAATTTTTTCCTGTAAATAATTGGAAAAAAAGAAAGAAGAATGTTATCTTAGAAATGCAGGAATAAGAAACAATTTTAGAAACCCATGTAGTGGTGTGTTTCAATGTAATATATACATTTTTTGAGATGATTAAAATGGCTACTTCAAAGATAGGGTTAACTCTGAAGTTACCTTCAGGTATAGAAGATCATAGTTTCTGCCTTAAATGTATAAAATCCTAAGCAAGGCAGACAAATGCAGATTATAAATGTCTTTGAATTTTCTTCACATTTCAGTTTTTTTATTGATTTACTTTTAATTTTATGTGCAGAATGTATTGTCTGCTTGTATATAAGTGCACCGATGTTTCACAATGCACATGGAGGTCAAAATGAGGCATTACCCTGTAACTGGAATTTTGGAGAGTTGTTAGCTGCCATGTGGTTACTGGGAATCAAACCTGGGTCCTCTGCAAGAGCAGCCAATGCTCTTAACCCCTTAGCCATCTTTCCAGCCCCCACATCTCAATTTTTATGTGTGATAGTATCCCATTCATGCAGACCATTTAATGTGTTTACCACATACAAATGCTGGAAGTTCTACAATGTCCCTATCAGGGTGTTTTTCACACCTGTCTGTTGATCAAATCTTGTGTTGAAAACTACAGAACCGTATTTTAGTGATTAGTCATTTTTCATATAGAAATTTATAGGCGCCGTTCACCTCTTGCAATTCTCACCTGATACAGTGCGAGAGTTCACTGTATCAGCTCTGTTCCTTTGAAGGAATCATATAATTTCTCCTGTGTTGTTTTTTTTCTTACCCTGAAAATTGGACTGCAAATAAATCTCATCAAAGAAAGCTTACCATTCAACTTTGATTATTTTGTAGAAACATATTATCACTTAAAATGAATCTATCCCTTCATGTTTTTTCATACACAGTATATGAAAAGATGTTCATTTTTAACAAGTGAAGATCAAGGAAGTCCAGAATTTAACCCTACGTAGCTTTTGGCAAAACCAGAAATACAATTTGTGTGGATTCGATTCAAACTTTATGCCTTTAAACTCACTTATTTTTCTTTGAGACAGAGCTCCATCCATTCTGAAACTGACTGTGTAGTTCAGGCTGGCCTCTAACTCAAAGAGATTCTCCTGCCTCTGCTTCCTGAGTTCTGGCCTCAAATGTGTATGCCACCAAACCTGGTGAAACATTGTTTTTATACTGCATTATAAAGATAAAAACATTGATAAACTAACCTAAAATCTCACTTTTTAATTTCCATTATTATTTACTAGAACTATGCCGAAGTCTGTATTAGTTACTTTTCTTTGCTGTGATAGAAACACTGACCAAATCAATTTATAGAAGGAAGAGTTTATTTGAGCTTATGGTTCCAAAGGGGCAAGAGTCCATCATGGTGGGGAGGCATGGCAACAGAGGTGGCTAGAGGAGGTGTGGAAGCTAGTATCTACATCTGGAAGCAGGCACAGGAAGCTAGAGAGCAACTTGAAACCTGGCAAGGCTTAAGAACTCTCTAACCACCCCCTGTGATGTGCTTCCTCCAGGAGAGCCACACCTTCTAAGACCTCCCAAAATAGTGCCATCAACTGGAGACAAAATGTCCAAATACTTGGAGCCTATGGGGAACATTTTCTTTCAAACCACCACAAAGCCTAAGTTGCCTTTTTAATTTCATGTTTGCATATCTCCAGTTCCTTTAAATTACAACCATCCCACAGACCAGCTCTAAAAATATGACCTCTATGAGTGATATTATCCTTATATATCATTGTATTTCTTTTTCCATTGCTTTGAATAAAGGGAAAAGGAGATGTCTGCTTAAACCAGGCATTATCAGAGGGCTTAGCTAAAACTATTGAATGTGTGTTGGAAGACAAAAAGCAAACTACTTACACCATACCGGATGTACAAAGCACCGTTTTGCGCACTGTAGGATTAATAAAGATGTCTTTTATTCTAAACTGGTTTCTAGGTGCATTCATATCTTCTTTAATATTTAATTGAAGAATCTTAAAAATATAAAACCAATATATTTAGACCGAACAAAAGTGGCATTTCCAAAATGTTCTTTCTACTCCTCCATGCTGCTATACACTACCAAATGAAAATAATTAACTCATAAAACCACAGTGCCATGGATTATAAGTGAATTATCTAAAAAAAAAAAAATGTGGGTCTGGTAAGATGACTTAGCAGGTGAAGGTACACGTCACTGAAACTGACAATCTGAATTTGATCCACATGATGGAAAACAAGAACTCTGGCAAGCTGATCTCTGACCTCTAGATGTGCGTTGTGGCATATGTATGCTCCCCAACAAAGTAAATAAAAGTGTAAAAACCAAAGACTATAATAAGAATAGAATATGTAAAAATTGAAAAATGAGCATTTAAACAAATGTTCAAAATATAATATCTATATTATAAAACTGTCTTCCAATAAAAATTTTGGAAGCTCTTTTCTAATGGTTCCAAAAATATGTGCTTCTTATTAGAAGTCAATGGCGTACTCAGGTGTGACACAACCATAACTAGCTTAAATGATGGTCATACTGAGTCACAAATGTCACTCTAAGAATCCCCACTGTATCAGTTAAGTACATAAAGTTCATTTATAGCCCCTTCATGATGAATCAAGCCCCTGTACCTAGAAATACTAAAATTATTCTGGTTATTTTTCCATTACATCATTGCTGATTTTTATGTATCTGTGATTACTATTAATTTTATACACAATTTATTCAGCAAAAAATCTATATTAAGATGTTAACTTTTAGAGGCAGTATTTGCAAAGTTTAAAACATTATGGAGTAGAGAAGCAAAATGGCATTTATACCCAGATATTCCTCTATGTTGCTTTTAGTTACAGATGTCATACCCTCAAGAGCATTTGAAACATAAATGCCCAATGTATCTTACTGTATATTATATACTACATTATACCCAGTTCATCAGTTAAGCTTCTTGGATTTTGTTTTCTGTTTCTCTAAATAGATAGGATTCTAATTTACCTAGCATTCACATGAATCTATCAAGAAACCAGAGCTCTTTAAACTTCTGAAAAAGCCTAGCTTGCCACAGAAATTATACCTTTAATCCCATCACTCGGGAGGCAGAGGCAGGTGGCTCTCTCTGAGTTAAAGGTCAACCTGGTCTGCATAGTGAGTTCCAGGCCAGCTGAGGCTATAGGGAAACCTGTCTCAAAAAACAAAAGAAACCATAAAACAAACAAGAAAATTCCCACAGTGCGCTTTGTTTGACTGTATACCCCATTTAATACAAGGGACTCTAGTTAGGCTGACTAGACCTCAGTGGGTGGACTTGCACTGGGGAACATCTGGGGACACTGATTTGATACAGTGGGCCTTAACACAGATGACACAGTATATCAGTTCCAGTGAAGGGGCTATTGGAGAGGGTGCTGGCGGGGAAGGGGGTATAAAGATGATTAAGATTGATTGAGATGTTTTCTATTAAATACACCAAAATTCAATAAAAACAATTTTTAAAAAAAGAAAATATAGAAATATGGGTAATGTATAGGCTGAAAATGAAAATACCAGGTTTGAAATCAATATGCTGAGATCTCAGTCCATGTCTTGAAAGGGACCTAAATTATTTCAGATGCAGGTGACACATGAATAAATCATAACTTTGGCTAAGACAGCAGTGAAGGCAGGATTTCAGTAAGCTTTAGACCAACCCATCTGTAAAGATGCCGCATCAGAAGATTATCAATGACTGATCCAAACTGCAGACCATCAGAGAGACAATGAGGCCATGTCCTCATTTCCTTTGTGATGAGCAGCATGGTGTACACAATGCAAACTTTTGAAATACCTGTACATGTTCCTCTAGTTAATATTTACAAATTTCCAACATAATCTTAAAATCATGTTGAAAAAAATCACAAATGCCAGGCAAATATAATGGGCAGTAATAATAACAGTTACAATATGAGTCTGTCCTGAACTGTTTACATTTTATTGTTTAGATATGTCTACTCATAATTTTATTATTTTTTCCATTGGGTGATGAAGGTGAGGGATGTAAAGGTAATGGAAATTACCTTTTCTGTACCTCAGTAGTTAGATTTTGTGTGACATCTTTCTTCCCACTGATAGAGGTAATTCCCTGGAGTTCCTTTAGGGCTTGCTTTCTTTTCCCATTGACCATGAGCCACCGGATTGATTCTGGTACCCAACTGTTTAACGGGAGACAATAGAAGGGGACATAACATTCCAATTCAAAGGCATGACTGTGCTATTAAAAAATTTCAATTCCAATTCCAATTCCTCCTACCAACAGAGAACATTTGAAGATTTAATCAACCTTCAACTTAATCATGAATCCCATAGTCAAAGTCTATTTCCAAGTCATTCCATACTTCTGCAACAGGAAGAAAAACTATTGGATTTTGGCTCCTAAGAAGAGTAACACTGTCTGATTAAAACACTAAATGTGTTCCTGCTTTCACATTCCATTTTATTTAAAAAGTCACTGCCAAATTCAACGTATGACTCTAATGTGAAGTTCACAATTTTGAAAGATGAAAATGTATACATTGCAAGTTTAAAATAATATTAAGTTTTATATTGCTTATTTTAATATATTATATTTAGTGTTTCATTAGTAAGAGGACTAACTAATGTTTATGAACACTGTAATAAGTACTTTCAGAAGAAAAGACTGTTTTATGTTTCCTTAAACATGGATCAGAGAAGGATCTTCACGTCTCTTTGTTACTATCATGTAGGGATATTTTTCTGTGACTTGATCTCTGCAACCAAATGAAAACATAAAGGATATTTAGTGAAATTTTGAGCCACTATTCATTTACTTTTATAAATTAATTGAAGGAATCATTATCCTATAATTGAATTTTCCTTACATTTTTAAATTTTATTTTTATAAGTAGTGTACTTTTAAAAAATATTTTATTTATTATTTTTATTTTATGTGTATGAGTGTACTGCCTACACGTATGGGAGTGCACCCGTGTTGTGCAATGCCGCGGAGGTCAGAAGAGGACGTCGGATTCCCCTGGAACTGGAGCTAAGGACAGTTTGCAGCCGCCATGTGGGTTCTGGGGATCGAACCTGGGTCCTCTGAAAGAGCAGTCAGTGCTCTTAATCATCTATACTTTAAAATGGCTCAGAGTGCATGAACAAATGGCAAAATATTCCTCAGCAAAGATAAGAAGTCATCACCTTTTATATTCACTAACGCTGCTTGACTTAGTATTACTATTTCAAGGTGCACTTACCAGAGGAAACAGGAGAAAATGAAGCAGGGCAAAACAAGGGCTAGTTGGAGCTTGTGCCATTCTGGGAGCAAATAAGCTAGTCCTCCAAGCATGGCCTGCCCAGCACTGACTGCCAGTCCTAAGAGTATTATAACCATGGAATGACACTTTTGTGAAGTTAGTTCTAAAACTAAAAGAAAATACAATGAAGAGATCTAATACCCTTTAAGAATAATGACCACAAAAATAGGAAGACGATATGTACAAACACATCAAGGCAAACTTACCAAGGGTAAGTGAGTTGTTTTGAAAAGCACCCACAGAGGTGGATAATGGGAATCTCAGAACACAATAAAGGGAGAAGATGGGGGCAAACGTACAGCAGGTACCCAGGATCACATAAGCTAGTTAATAAGACACCAACAGTGGCTTTCTTCCAAACCTATGGTAACAGTAATTAATGTAGTAAAAATACTAACAAACCACATGTTATGAATATTCCTAGAGAATCCTCACTGATTCTAGTTTCCTGGTTTTTACCTAGGGTTGGAGAGATGGCTTAGCAGTTGAGAGCACTGGGTGCTCTTGCAGAGGACCCGGGTTCAACTCCTGGCGCCCACATGGTGGCTACTGTAACTCCTGTTCCAGGGCATCCTCTACAGGCATTGCACCACAAGGGTGCACTTACATACCTGTAAGCAATCCACTCATACACATAAAATAAAAATAAAATATTTTTAAAAGACCCTACACCACTGTACGACCAAAGTAATTGTCATTTAAAGACAAAGTGACATATTCTCACTAAAATATTAGTATCTGGTCACTATTTTTATGTCTTTAGAATTGTACTTTTCTCTATATCTGATCTAAACTAGCAAAGTCAATGCAGTCCAAGTTTCTTTTTAAAGATCTTCATTTTATTCTTATTTATGAGTGTATGTGTGTTGGTGCGTATATGTGTGCATGCGTGCGTGCATGTGTGTGTGTGTGTGTGTGTGTGTGTGTGTGTTTGGGTGCTCATGTGTGCAGGTATGCATGGAAGCCAGAAGAGGGCCTTATGCTCCCTGTAACTGGAAACAAAGACAGTTGTGAGCTGCCTGACACGGGTACTAAGAGCCAAACTACAGTCCTCTGAAAGATCAGTGAGTACTCTAAACCACTGAGCTGTGTCTCCAGCCCTGCCATTTAAGTTTCATTGCTAACCTTTGTTCTACCTTTCATGTGATTCATAACCACATATATTAATTGTATTATATCCTTTCTTTAAAAGTCTTATAAGTAACTTGAATGAGTAAAATTAATCTTAAGCTGTTTTAAAAATCTGCCTTATTATTTACCTGGTTATAAACCTCTGAGCTGTCATTTCTATTTTCTTGTTTCTAGAAATATTTCCCAAGTAGACACTACAATAATTTTTTTCCTCCTGTCATTAAATTACTTACAGTCATCCTACAAATGAATCTTCGTAAGTCAATACTTTAAACATACTACATGCTTTTTAAATTTGTACAACTTGTTGTTATTTTTCATTGTGTTTATGTGTTGTGTATGTGTGGGTATATGCACATGAGTACCGGTGCCTGCAGAAGTCAGTGACATCCAGTTCCCCAGGAGCTGAAGACAGAGGTTGATGTGAGCTGTTTGATGTGGTTGCTGGAAATCAAATTCAGGTCAGGTGGAAGAGCAGTACATGTTCTTAACCACTGAACATTCTCTTCAACCCATTCATACTTTTTAAAAAGGCAACCTGTACACACTGGTTTACGTTGTCACAGTTGCCTGGCTATCTCTAATCCCAAATTTGAGAAGAAAATGAAGATTCATTTCTTACAAATTTAGCTTTTTCTCTCATACAATTGTGAGCTTCTTCATCAATCATATTGTTATAATTTCTGACAGTTCTGCCTCCCTATCTTGTTTTTAAATATTTGTTGCCTATCAATTCTTTAAGGATCAGTTCAATTGACTTGCTCCTATTGAAAGCCTGCAACGTTGATTTAAGGCTTCTAAAGTTTCTTGTTTCTTTAGAATATATCTATCATGTAGTTTCTGTCCTCATTCTACTTAGATTCTTTCAATGCCCATAATTTTTAATAAAGTATAAAGTCTTTAAAAATATCTTTGTAAATGGTTCTTGATCAAAAATGAAACTTACCTGTCGGAAACAAGTCCACTCACAGCAGTACCCATCAAAAGCCCTGCAAAGGAGATGGCTTGCACGTAGTATTTGAATGATTGAAAATCACATACTAAATCCCACTGCAAAAGAGTGAACAGGAAATATCATAGCTCAAATCATTAAAGATGGCATTTGTAAAGAAGACATAAATATAGCTGGAGAGTAGGTTGGTTGGTTAATAAGATGTATTATAAATTACTTTGAATATTGGCAATGTCTACATCCTAGGTATCTATCTATCTAGAATTTGGAGAATACATATTTGGTCAATAATACTAATATAGACTTATAGGTGAAATGATAGGTGGATTTCTATCATACCATTAAATAAAAGAACCAATAAAGCTGCAGGACAATGGAAGTAGAAAGATAATTGGTGAAGAGCACACTGAAAAGAGCTTAAACAATTGCAACCCTTGCTATCCTATCCTGGGTGCTATGTTAGGATTGGTACTCAATGAAACATTCAAGGTAAAAGTAGAACAGGGACCCAAGAGAAGTACATCTCACAAGACATCAAGGTTTCTTAGAGATGATACTGTTAACAGACTACTGAGGACATTAAATCAGAACAGAACAGCTATTGATCAAAATCAGTCCTTGCAGAAATCTCTGTGGCCTTAGCACAGTAAAAAAATCATAAAAGTTTAATAAAGCATGAATAATTATCTTATAATTAATGAGGATTCAAGTGAATCAGTAGTCTTCAAGACTGAAATAGAGTAAAATGAAATGAAATAAAGTTGCCTTCAAAGCAAAGATGTTGAAGTGACACAGAGATAAACGCACAGGTATGATGATACTTGGGAGAGGCAATAGTACTTTGATCAATGGATCATAGGAATCAGGCACATTCACTCTCTACACAGGTGGTGTCCACTGGAAGATAGGAGAGGGTAGCCCTCCTGCATTCCAGCTCTGATGTCTGGATGTTGCATGGAAATTCCTGAACTAAGTAGATTTATGACACAAATAAAAGGATGTCTAAAAAGGTGACAAAGTTCATTCTGAGAGAATGAGTAAAAGTAACAAAAAAATGGCAACAAAGGCAACAGTGTTATAGAATGTCAAATATTTTCTATTTTAAAAATGGAAACAACACCTCCACAAAAAAGAGTCTCAACACTTCAGACTTCAGAAGATTGAGATAGTAGACATTATTTGATATCTTTAGTATAATTAAAATTGGGTAGCTAAATTTTTCAGTTCCATGTGTCTCCTAAGTAAAAATCAGAAAATAAGTTATTAAAAATTGACTTACAGAAAAGTAGAAACTTCCATTTGTGATGGTGTATTTTTAATGGCATTTTCCAGCCAAGCACATGCCATCCAAATTTCTCAATCACATTGTACGAAGCAGCAAAGGTGAAGAAAAATAATTGGCATGTACACTGAATTGCCTTGCATGATCTCATTTGAGATGGTCTCATTCTAACTGGTCTAATCTTGAGTTTTCCTCTTTACATTTGGAAGCATCAAATGAAAATAGAAACAAGAAAATAAAATAAAATAAAATAAAAATGGAAACTGAAGAACAAAATGTGTTGAAACATGCCTGTAATTACAGAACTCAGGTGACTGAGGCGTAAGTGTGTCTAGTCTGAGGTCAGGCTAGGCTGGACAACAAGACTACATCTTATATAAAAAAATAAATGAAACCGGGCTGGAGAGATGGCTCAGTGGTTAAGAGAACTGACTGCTCTTGCAGAGGACTTAGGTTTGATTCCAAGCACCCACATGGCAGCTACGAACCATCCTTAACTTCAGTTCCGGGGGAATCTGAAGCCCTCTTCTGACCTCCGCAGCATTGCATGACACGGGTGTATTCACATATATGCAGGCAATACACTCGCACACAAAATTTAAAAATAATAATAATAATAAAATATACATTGAAAAAATAAAACAAAATAAGGCATAATGGAATTGGTGTAAACCATTATAGATCTGTTAAGTGACACAACTTAATTGAATATACTTTAAAAATTCTTGTATAAAAAGTGGTAATAGAAAATAATATAAATACATGTATTCAGTATCAAGACAGTTCTATAGAAAGAAAAGGTCTTGAAATTCAGATATGTTTTAAGAATGTCATGAAACCAACTAGATAGATGCAGATAGCTTTTATTTAGCAGAGAACACATGCAGGGTAGATATAAAAGTCAAAGGAGCTTTTGCATCCAGACCAATCCAATGCCTCCCTACAGTCCACAGGAGCTCTCTGGGCCTGGGCCTGCCCTCACCTCCCTTTGCCTCCCTGGACTGCACAGTCTCTGGCATCCTGGTGCCAGCATCTTTCCTTGGTAAGTCCAGCGAGTGTCCAATGTGCCTTAACTCCCCCAGCCTCATTCACCCTCCCAGCTCCCACGACCCTCCTCCTAGCCTGCATACTGGACCATTTCTGGTTTTAGCACCCCAGACACCAGGGCTGACCTCTCAGCCCAGAGCCACCACTACTTCCTGATCCTTTGCATACAGACCAACCCAGTACCTCCCTGCAGTCCCCAGGAGCAGTCTCCAGGAGCCCTCTAGGCCTGGTACCACCCCACTTACCTTTGCTTCCCTGGGCAGCTCAGCCACCAACTTCCTGGTGCTAGCATCTTTCTTGGACGGGTCCCAGGGCTGGGCCTTGACACCCCCAACCTCATTCACCCTCCCAGTCCCCTCCTAGCATGGGTACTGGCCCATTTTTTGTCTTGGAACCGCAGACTCCTGGACTAACCTCTAGGCACAGAATCCCCACTGCTTCCTGATCCTTTGCATCCAGACCAACCCAGTTCCTCCCATAGTACCCAGGAGCCCTTGGGGTCTCTTCCCACCCCCACCTCTCTGTGCATTCCTGGATGGCACAACCACCATTTTCCTGAGACCAGCATCTTTCCTGGGCCCTGCTCCCAGGCCAATCCAGTCCCCAAATTCCTGAGGGAAGCATCTTCCTGGAGGGATCCAGACCTTAAGAGAAAGCCTGAGAGCATCTAAGCCTCGTCTGACTTGGACCTCTCCCCTGTAGGAACTCCTGAATACAAAAGCAATTTGGCCACTCCAATATATAATCAAAAGAGAGAACCTAAAGCTTGGACCAACCAGCTTTTCATACCCAACAAATAAACCACAAAGGCACATAAAGTTCGCAAAAGGAAGCAGACCTAAACTCAACAAAGGGAGGTTTGAGTCTCATACAAGAATCAGAAACTACAAAAGAAATCTACATGTAAAGTCACAGTGAAAAAATAATAACATGAAAAACCAAAATAATATATCCCCACCAAGTAAGTACCAACAGTCCTGGAAAGGAGTCCAGTGAGAACCCTCTAGAGGTAACACAGGACATGGAATTCAAAAGAACAATTATAAACATGATAAAAGAATTCAGTGAATTTAAAGAACACACAAACAAATCAAGCCTCACCAATAGGATGAATGAAATGGAAAACAGAATATCAAGACTAGAAGATAAAGTGGACGAATTAGACCACTCAAGCAAAGAATATGAAAAATTTAAGAAAACACGAGAATGGAATATGCAAGAATTGTGTGACACCATAAAAAGACCAAACTTACGAATCATAGGCATACAGGAAGGAGAAGAATCTCGAGATAATGGTATGACACAGATCTTCAACAGGATTGTAGGAGAAAATGTCCCCCAAAAAAAGAAAGACATGCCCAACAAATTCAAGAAGCACATAGAACACCAAATAGACAGGAGCAGAAAGGAAACTCTCCATGGCATAGCATAATAAAAACACTAAACGTACAGAACAAAGAGACAATACTGAAAGCTGCAAAAGAAAAACAACAAGTCACATATAAAGGAAAAACCATCAGGATTACAGCTGACTTTTCAGTGCAAATTATGAAAGCCAGAAGAGCCTGGACCAAAGTATTCCCAGTTCTAAATGACCACAGATGCCAAAGTAGATTACTTTATCCAGCCAAAATATCAATTATAGTCAAAGGGAAAAGAAAAATCTTGCATGACATAAATAGGCTGAAAGAATTCATGTCCACAAAACCAATCCTTCAGAGAGTTCCTGAACCAATACAAAGAGCTAAAGAAAGGAACAACTATACCGAAAGGGTTACGGAAAAACATTCAATGAAGGTATAACTGTCAAAATTCACAGCTATATCAAGAAATTGAACAGAAATAAAAATGACAAGATTCAATAAACATCTTTCATTAATAACTTTAAATATCAACTTACTGAACTCTGCAGTCAAAGACAGAGACTAGGTGAATGGATTAAGAAACAAAACACAGTTTTTTGTTGTCTGCAAGAAACTCATCTCACTTTCAAGGACAGACACTATCTTAA